CAGGCATTTTCATTTTATTTCTTATACTACCTGGCTTTATTGAACAGCAGCTCTTCTCTATTTATGATTTCCTGACCATCAGCAGCAAGTGGACTTTATAATTACTTTTCATTTTGGGGTTTCTTATTCCTACATACAGCTACAAATTTCCCCCAAATTCTTCTATGTTGGTCATTCTTGCTCCCAGATTTTCCAGTATAAGAGGTGTATTAAGACCATGCCTGAATTTGGGGTCTTGGGTGGCCCCAAAATCTGAGGAATTTCTTATGAAGGTGAGGTCTGTGGTGAAGTATTTTGCTGAAGATGCTGTATTGCAAGCTATAGGTAGCAGGCTGTTATATATATATTGCAAGCTATACATTCCTGAAAGGAGAGAGAGCCTGGTGACCTCAGCACAGTAGCCCTTGAAAGCCTCACTGCCTGCTTGTGCTCCCTTTTCAAAAAGCTGGTTTCCTTATTTTTTTTCTTCTTTACATTGCATTGCAGAAGCGTTCAGGGGCCCTACTATAATAATGTCAATGAAAAAAATATGTTTTTAATAGAAATGTAGCTGAGGTGTTGCAGAGATATCCAAAACTCATAATGTTCCACAGTTTCATGCTTTTAAGAAGGATGATTTTTGATGAGAATGTGTTTGGCTGAAAGATTCTAACGTGCTGTAATGCCGAATAAGATCAACATTTAAAATACAGTGGAAGCATTTTGAGAATGTCATTCTTTACTAAGCCTGAAGGAGCTCAGGGTAATCCTCATTGCTGCGTTTCTTTGGAGATTTACATGAGAAGTTGGATGGGAACTAAGCTGATGTTAGAACACTCCTATTTTTACAAATGTTGATTTGTTAATGTGAATTGCTGTGTTGATTTTATTGCATATATACTCAGAGATTTTGCAGTTGGTTAAGTCAGAACTAAATTGAGACAGATTAAACAAGTAAAAGGAAAGTAAGAAACATGTTAATTATGTTGAACAGCCATGCTTCAAAAGGCATAAAGTTGATTGTACCTGTTCAGTTTCCAAGTTGGAAAACACTTTGGAGAATCCCGGCTGTGGCTGCTGAGACTTTGGTGGCTGGTTGCTGCTACAGGGTGTAAATCTTTAGTAGCTCAAGAAGTCATTTGCAGTTCAAGAAAATGGAGATCCCTGGGATCTTTCCTTCCTCTGTAGTGTAAACCTAGACAGACTAAAGTGATGAAAAAATGTTGAATTGATGAAAGGTTGAGATTTCCCAAAAGTGCCGTGTGAAGAGCTCCTGCAAGGGTCAAAAGGGTGTATTGATGAACAAAGATTACTCTGCTTCATAATGAAAAAGAAAAATTGATATCTCTACTGTTTTAGATTCAGAGTTCAATTCAATTCTATTGGTCTCCATTATTCCCATAAAGCAGTGAGCAAATATTTACCTACAGCAAATCTGTGTCTTAGTAGGGTGTAACAGCCAAGCTTTTTCTTGCTTTAAATCAATTGTGTCCCTTTTTTTGGTAAAGACAAACAAACTCACGCTGATCTGGATTAATTGCTATGGTAAAACGCGTGAGCGCAGACTGGCTGTCAGCAGCATTGAGGAGGTGCTGCGTGTTTGGTTGCATTCACATTTGCTTGTTGAACATCTTTTCGTTGTGAGTGACATCCCTCACTCATGATGTCATTTACTGTTCAGATTTTTGAGCAAAAAAATATGGAAGTCCCACGACAGGCATGATGTCCCTTGCCATGTTTCACACGCTGGAGCACCAGAAGGAAAGGGGTACTGTGGGGATGGTGTGAGAGCTATGGTGGGCTGTCCTAGTGATTTGCAGAGAAAGTTGGCACAAGGCTGCATGGGCTTACTGGCTCGCATGGCCTCAGGTCTCCAAGCACTGCCAGGAGACATGATTTTGGTCTAAGGAAGGTAAAACAGGCCTTCCAGGTCTGTGTGACCCCCAGGGCATCCTGCTGCAAGGTCTAAGCAGCAGGCAGAAGTGATGAGGCTGGAGAGGCAGTAAACTTCAAAAGGAGATGAGCAGGGAGCAGTATCTTAATCCATTGCTGGTGGATTAATCTGGAGGTTTTGGGGGTACCTTGGGACTACAGCCTTGAAGGGGAAGGCCTTTTGCAGCCGGTTGAATTGCTAGAGGGAAGAGATGCCATCCAGAGGGACCAGGAGAGGCTTCAGAAGTGGGCCTGTGCGAACCTCATGAAGTTCAACAAGGCCAAGTGCAAGGAACTCCATCTGGGGCAGGGAAAACACTTCTTCAGTAGACTAGGGAACAAAGGGATAAAGAGCAGCCCTGCAGAGGACTTGGGGATGAAAAATTAGACAGGAGCCAGCAAAGTGCACTTGCAGCCCAGAAAGCCAGTTGTGTCATGGTATGGCTAGTAACTGGAAGGAGACCACTCTCCCCCTCTACTCTGCTCTCGTGGGACCACACCCAGAGTACTGTGTCCAGCTCTGGAGTCCCCAGTATAAGATGGACCCATGGGAGCAGGTCCAGAGGAGGCCAGAGAGATGATCAGAGGGCTGGAGCACCTCTCCTATGAAGACAGACCGAGTTGGGTTGTTCAGCCTGGAGAAGAGAAGGCTCCAAGGAGATCTTACTACAGCTTTCCAGTACTTAGAGGGGGCTTATAAGAAAGCTGGAGAGAGACTTTCTACCAAGGCCTATAGTGGCAGGGTAAAGGGCAATGGTTCTAAACTAAAAGAGGGTAGATTTGCATTAGATAAAAGGAAGAAATTTTTTATGCTGAGGGTAATGAGGCACAGGAACAGTTTGCCCAGAGAAGTTGTGGATGCCCCAGCATGGGAAGTGTCCAGTGCCAGGTTGGATAGGGCTTAGAACAACCTGTTCTAGTGGAAGGTGCCTCAGCCTATGGCAGGGGTGTTGGACTAGACGATTTTTAGAGATACCTTCCAACCCAGACCATTTTGTGATTCTATGAATTTCTGTGTGTTTTGTTGTGAAGTGTCATACAGCACCTCCTTGACTTCCTGTCTTTGTGAAAGTTTTATCCACTTTTAGTAGACATGTAGCTCCTTAGTTATTAGCCTGCACCTCTCCTAGAGAACTGGTATTCCTGGGGCTGAGAGCAAACCCTTCTGGCCCTGGGAGCTGCCCAGGGGGAATGGCCTCTCCTGTGCTCTTGAGCTGCCTTCATGGATATTTAATTTACCAGGAGAGACACAGCCTTAGGGAATGTCTATGCTGTGCAAGTAAAAGTCATCCCAAGCCCAGAGTGAGCTTAGCACAGGCTTCCTCAATGCTGGCTGCAGGAAGCTTGGATGGAATCTTTTTCCCAAGGACACTGCTCTGTGCTTCTGGGCAGGTTAGTAGTGTGCACATGTACGCTCTTTACTCCATTTCAATACCTTTCAGTGCCACAGGTGATGCATTGGGCAAAGCTGGGATAGGAGCATGGGGCTGTGTGTGTGTTGTGTCTGGGGCCCTGCAGAACCCCACTTGCTTTCACTGTAGTTTGGACAGAAGATAAGACTAAATTGCTGGCTTTCTTTGCCATTGTGTGGCTTGGTGGAGACAAGTTTGTTATAGCAGCGCTATTCACTTTTAGGGAAGGACTTTAAAATTACCTTCACTTTTCAGCTTGTTCTACTGCAGTTGAAGGTAGTGGTGGGTTACTGAGAGGTTTTGAAAGCCCTGTTTCAAGAAACTGTGTAGGTGCTGAAGACAAGTAACCATAATTACTCTGTATTAATATAGCACAAAATTGTCTGTCAAAGAAATAGCATTCATGGATCTTTGAGGCCAGGTAGGGTAAATACATCTGTTCAGTATGTCTTGTGCTTTGTGCAGGGTACAGAAATAAAGGTGATGATATCTACAGCCTAATAGCTTGTGGTTAAGCTAAAATACAAGTTCCAGAATGCAGACTTCAGATAGGGTCCAGCAGCATATTTTCTAGCCAAACTGGACTCTGACACCGATGGCCCACATGGTCTGGGCTGAGTCTCTTAAAACAGTGCAGTGTAAAAATTTCACAGCTTTGGCCTCTGGGCTGAGGAATGGCTCAGCCTGTGCACAGTGAGATTCTGCGTGGGACCGCTTACCCTGCCGAAGCTCCGAGACTGCCTGTGCAATGGATGGAGATGTCTGCTTGAGCAGACAAGCATCGAGCTGTGCCCTGCCTAAATTTTCTTATTTTGAAAGAGGGGTCGTCTCCCTTCTTGAGCTTACACGGCTGGCAGGTGGGACAGAAGGGAGGGGTTCCCATTCCACCTGACCACCAGCTGCAGGGTTACCCTCACTGCTAAGAGATCCTCCTAGATTATGCCCCAGACATTGCAAATTGTGACTCTGGTGGATTAAAGAGCCCTCCCCCATCAGCAATCCTTGGTCACAAGCAGATCTGCCACCAGCTCACTTCTTATTTTTCTCTGATATGAGCCTGCTGAGTGATGGATGCTCTTAGTCAGGGAGTGACACAATGAAGTCTCCCACTGGAAGACAGGTTTTGTGGCTCACTGTGATTGACCAGAGCAGTGGCTCCAGCATCTCCCCAGCAGCCCTTCCCTTTGCCGCTTACTAAAGGCACTCAGGGACGCTGTGTCACTCACATCACTTCCTTTTGCCTCGCAGCTTGGCCAATCAGCTGGTCTTGCTCCAGGCAGGGAGTGGTGTTTGAAGGGTGAGTAATGCATCCCATGTGTTTCCTTCAAGCCTGCCGGCTTATGCTTCTCAGCAGTGTCGTTTGTGGCAAGGGGAGGCAGGAAGAGGCTGGCTGCTGCTGAAGTATTAACTGTACACCTAGGCAAAAATGCTGTTCTAGAGTCAGTGCTTCCTTTATCTGTTCATGCCAGATGTGTACATCACTGTCAAGGGCAGGCGAGGAGACAATTTACCCATTCCCTGCTGTGATTGCTGATATTTAGGAATGACTGAAGACCGTAATCATGACCACACAGTTACAACACTATTAATAAACTGTGCAATCATTAGGTGAAAGCTGCTGCATACATTTCGAGGGTGCGCGGCTCTAACACCTCATCCGTGTGTGCTTTCCTGCAGCCGACAATGCCAACCACCCTTTCCGCCGCCGCCAGCCCAGCAGCACAGCCCCATGTCCTCGCAGGCCACTGCAGGCCCTCTGCTCCCAGGCTCCTTGCCCCCACTGCCGGCCCCTGCTGCTGCCCAGACTCCGACACTGCCGGGCCAGCAGCTGACACCTGACGCCTTTGCCATAGTGGAGCGGGCACAGCAGATGGTAGAGATGCTCTCCGAGGAGAACCACGTGCTGCGTCAGGAGCTGGAGGGCTACTATGAGAAGGCAGACAAGCTGCAGAAGGTACGTGGAGAGGTGGGGATGGGGCCTGGGCAGAACAACCATCTTGATGTCTTTGGATTCCCCAAGGTATTCTTCACAGTTGTGTCACTGCAATGAGGATGCACCAGTGGCCATCTATAACCATTGCCTCTCCATGGTGGTCTCCCAGAACTGTAATCTTGTGGCTTATGGGCTCCCCTGACTTTAGGGCAAAACAGGGCAACTCATCAGATATCTCTCAACTGGGTATTTTCCCCTTCCATCCTTCCATGCTGGTCTCACTGAAGCTTTTCCTGGAGGTCTCCCACAGGCAGAGTCTGCTTCTGTTGCAGCTGGGTCCTGCACCATCTGCACAGGTGTTAGAGCTGCAAGAGAGGACCATTTCAAGAGCACATGCACATCTGTCCCAAGCAGTCTTGTCCACCACAATAAGCTTGTGTGGTCCTCTACGCTCTTTGGAAGTGTAACAGCCATCGATGGGCTTGCTCATTATTTGGAAAGGCATTAACTGTGTTGTCTTAGAGGCTTTCGCTGACAGCTCTGTGGATCTTTAAGAACTGATGTTAGACGTCCGTCTTTGAACATGCTGGTTTTAAAAGCACTGCCCCCTTACCTGAAAGACCATTTGGTAAAGATTTTGCTCAGAACCCCTTTTTTAAGAGATCCTGCACCCTCTTTTCTATATGCATGCAGGTTTTTTCAGTGGAGAAGGGCAATATCTTGAGCACTGCCTGGGGTGAGAAGATGAAGAGTCAAATCAAAAAAGTGGAAGTTGTTTAAAACTGAGACTCACTAAAGGCAAAGCAGAGATGCTCCCCAGGTCTGCTGGCTTTGGGTCCCAAGGGTTCAGACCAAATAATTTATTTAGGATCCTACACTACTACTTTATTTCTATTTTCCCACCACTTATACACCAAGGAGCTTAGACTGCAGGTCATTTTGCACTGAATTTAGGAGTCTAAATAGGAGCTCAATTTTTTTCTATGGTGTGCAGATCAGGGTGTTCTTGGAGACACCCTTCACAGGAGAAGAGGCATCTCTGAGAGACCATGTCCCAGCCTCAGCTTGGGAAAAATCTGTGACAATCTGATCAAACGGGTTAGAAAAAAGACCGGTTGTTTTGTAGCTGCTGTCTTTTCTGCCTTCTCCTCTGCAACAAGATGAGTTGAGTTTATTCACAGACTTTCCTAAACTTAGTTGAAAAATTTTTGCAGCAACATTAACTATTTGTGAAGACATCTGCAAAGACTTTAATGCTAACTCTCCTGTGGCCTTTGCGGGCAAAAAGAAATATTCCAGCTATTAATTTTACAAAAGCTGCATTGTTCAGTAAAAGGTATTTGAGTGCAATGCCCTATAAATATTCCAATTTTCTTTTTCACTCTTGGAAATGACTCTCTCTTTATCTTGGATGCACTGCAAGGCGATTGCATCAGACACCAACAGAAAGGTATTCAAGCACGGGCTGAACTCTCACTTCAGTCAACAGAGCATGGACTTGAGTCCCATTGACTCTGGGGGAATGTAAGCGAAGTATTAAAGTGAAACACATACTCAAGTGCATTCTTTCTTCAGGAAACCAAATCCTTAATGCATGGTATCCCTCCTATGCTGTTTTTTCTGTATTTGAACACAAGGACAGGGCAGGTGCTCCTCTGTTCCCACAGTTTCAGCTGAACGTCACCTCTGAAAATGTGATTGAGTTAAATTACGTACTTTGGGTGTGAAAACTCTTCCCTCTTGTTGGAAGTGGAAGGGTCAGGAGGAGTAATTCTTGTTTGTCTGTGCATAACAGTTTTATTCTAGGTAGGACCACCCTCCCATCACTTTTATTCATTACAGAATAGAAGAAATTAGAGAAAATCAACTTGACTTGTAGGGCTCCCTGGGCATTTGGACGAGCAGATCAGCCCTGAGGCTTGTTGTATTCTCAGTTGTGTGTGAACAGACTTTTTTGCAGAGAGGTACAAGGTGGTGATTGATCCTTGTGCTGTTTGACAAGTTGCCTGGTTTTCTTACCTAAAAGGAGTTGGAAGAGGAGTTGCGCACATTTCATTTTGAGCTTTTTTTTCTTCAAAAGCAAAGTATTATTTTCCCTCTTCTGAGAGATGTTATCTTGCTGAAGTTTAATTGCCAGGCTGGGCTGGCTCTTCCCCATGCCATGTGTGTGGGTTGTTTGAGTGGGTCACCTCCAGGAGCTACCAGACAGAGAAGAGGCTGAACTGGTTTTTTCCTCCATAAAAGAAGGAGAAGGAAATCCCAGAGCTGTTGAGAAACACCGACACAATTTGTAGCTGTTGTTCTGCTCTCCTTTAATTTTATTCAGTGCTGACGGAGGTTCTTTCTTTTCACACAGTAAGTTTTTGCCTTCGGGGCTGCAGGAGACTTGCATGGTGATGTGTTTTGGGAAATAACAGCATATAGAGGGCCAAGCAGAGCCCTTGTGGTAACCAGCAGCGTTGGGCCAGACTGCTGGGCTGTGGAAACCCACTGCTGTGCTGGCAAGTCTGCTTTGCTGTGGTAGGAGCTCTCGGGAGCAGGCATCTTTTCCTGCATGTAGTGACTCACCTTGGAGAGTGGAGGCATGGGAACTGACGAGTGTCAGGGCACCCAACTGAGCATGATGTCTGATTGGGATCATGTAGTCATGATTGGGAAAGTGCTTTGATTCTGGAAAATTCACATGAGATAGGCTTTTAATTGTAGGTCATAGTCATAGGCCAGAATAGACTATTTCAGTTGGAAGAAACCTACAATGGTCATCTAGTCCAACTGCCTGACCAAATCCGGGCAAGCCAAGTGACAGCTGCAGCATCCCTGGCAAATCACACCTAAAGCTTAATGAGAGGGACCTAACTCCACAGCAAGTGAAGGTGAGCTCGTACCCTGGCTTCAAAAATCACGCATCTGTCCCAGCCGTGATTCAAGAGGCCAAAAAAGTGCCAGATTTAGAAAGGTATGTGGGAGGCTATATATATCTTGTGGTTTCCAGCCTGTGCACATTATCAAGCTTTTCTCCACAAACACAAGGGCCAGGCATGCAGGAACAGATTACCACATCAATGTTGATCATTCCTGCAGCAAAGATTTTACCAAAGCTGTATCACTTAACATGACATTATCTTATTAAAAAAATTAGTTAGATGGATTAAGCTGGACAGCAAAACTCTGCCCAGGACTAATCTCCTGTCAGCCTTTTTGGCTCAGGTCTTAAGATGCAAGTTCACTGCTAAGGGCTTCCTCTGCATACCCTGCCTGCGGTTTGCCAGATTTAGAGGAGATGAAGTTAAGAAGACTGAAAAACCAAAACAATTGGTTCAGTCTGTTATAGAGAGTTTCTTGTATAACGCAGTCTTCAGTCAAGGATGGAAAGAAATGGACCACAATAGTTTAAAATTGACGTGAGGTCACAGCTGAGCTTAACATACTTCTGATGGCATACACAGCTTAGAGATAAGTTTTGTATCAGGGACCTGGCAGAATAATAAATGTTGCCTCCTACAACCCTTTCTCAGGGAGCATACAGCTTACACAAATACAGCATTTCCTTTGTTTTTCCTCTTGGATGGCATTAAAGCACCCACCTCAGTCATAGAGGAAAAACAACCAAACAGTTCCATCAAGTCCAGTGGGGTGTTGTGGCATGGTGAGCTGCCCCTCAGGCCGTTTGCAGGGGTCCCTACTGCAGGAGCCTCCAGCGTTGTTGGGGCTTCACACCATCCTCTGCCAGGGAAATGGGTCATTTGTAGAGTTGGTTCCTGGTGTGACACTTGGCATGAGCATTGCCTGTACCCTCACGTCTCATCAAAACACGCTGGACAAACCTTGGGGCAGGACACATTCCTGCAGGGCTTTAACAGGACCTCTCTCTCTTTTCAGTTTGAAATAGAGATTCAGAGGATTTCAGAAGCTTACGAAGGCTTGGTCAAGACCACCACTAAAAGGGAGTCTCTGGACAAAGCAATGAGAAACAAACTTGAAGGAGAAATTAGGAGACTTCATGACTTCAACAGGGATCTCCGTGGTACGTTACAGTTGCTTGTGTGTTTTTTTTCCTCTGGTTGACATGGTGTTTCACTTACTAGCTCCAGAGCAGCAGGCTTTAAAACAGTGACTTCACACACTATTTAGATAAATGTAATGAGAAATAAGGCCCTGCCCCTTGGCATAAGACAAAACTGCTGTCACCCCTGTAGTGGCAAAAAAGCCTGGCAAAATATGAGAGTCAGTTCCTGATGGTGCCTTTGTGTTCAGCACTTGCAAATATGGATGTGAGAGCAAGGCCACCAGTCACAATGTTGTGTCCAGATCTAATGAGCTGCAGAGCAAACTGCAATGTAGAACAGTGCTGTGCTACCCGTTAATCTCCAAGTTCAGTGCCTTCCCAGACCAGTAGCGAGTATCAAAGGCCATCTCTTTTTTGTATTAAAACATAATATTGAGGGTGTATCTTTTTGAGGAAGGAAGTGGAGCGTATGTTGGATGGTTATTGCCAATCCAGGTTCCTAATGGGGTACTTTGGTACCTGCTCGTGCAGTGAGATGCCTTCTGCAAACTGACTTACCTTTTTGCAATGGTGCAAGATGGGTCACATGGTCTTTTTGGAGAAGGGAAGAATCTGAAGGCAGGATCTTCCCTGGAAACTTCCCAGGAAACTATCCCTGGCTGCAAAAAACTCCTCATTTCCTGTGGGCATCCCCAAGGGTTGGCATTAATGGGGTGGGGGCTGCCTTCCCTCAGGAGGCACCAGGGGCAGCTCTTCACTGCAGGAAAGCACCCATCCCCTTGCAAAGCTGGTTAATTCAGATTGCAGATGCCTTGTTGCATTTTGGACAGTGCGAGAGATGAACTGCCTGGACATGTCAGCTGTGAATGGCAGAGGCTTTCCCCCCGGTTTCTGTAAATCTGAACGACACAGCTTCATGGAAGAGGTCAAAGGCTTCATCTTTTATGTATGTGTCAGCCTCCATTTTAATGTCCTCCTTCAGAGAGTCTATTTATACTGCTCCGCTGGCACGCATCTTATTTTCTTGGTTTGCCTACAATTTTATATACATATATTTATACTTAAAGTATTTCCTGTTTTTTGCAGAACGACTGGAGACAGCCAATAGGCAGCTAGCCAGCAGAGACTTTGATGGGCATGAGGATAAGGCAACAGAGGGCCTTTATGCCACTCAGAGTGAGTACTGTGCCTATCTGTTTGGAAGGTGCATATATGTATATGTGTGTATATATAAGCATACACATGGTGAAGTGGAGGTAAATACTTAGCTATTAATTGTTATTGTGCTTGTGGCTTGGTTTTACTCAGCTAATTCATCACATACTCTTATTTCAGCTGCAGACTGGATTATGTAGGTAGGGGTTTTTTTCTCTCTGAGCATCAGAACAAAGCAGTGTGAGTTAATGGTAACACAACTTGGCTTATTTTTGAGAAATATTTATCTGAAATTGTGAAGTGTTGCTTGCAGGGTCATCTCTAGAGATGCTTGCTTCTAAGAGAAGCAAAATTCTTCTCTTGGCTAGGAAAAACCCAGAGCAGCCTCTGCTGACTAGTTATCAGTGCCATGGGTTTAACCAGCAGGAGAAAGAGCAGAGCTGGACCATACCTTTCACAAAGGACTGAAGAGACAAAGACTTTACAGCTTCTACTGCTGTGAAAGCATCTGTTCCCAACAAATTTTAGGCTTCCATAATGACTGGGCACGGTGCTGCAGATTTCCTTGCCATGCACTGATGTGTGTGAGATCATCCAACCCAAAACCCAAGCAGCTGGATGCTGTGTGGCAGTGTGTGACTTCTTTTGTATCCTGACTATCTTTAGCACACATCCAGAAGGGCTTGATCACCTGAGAGCTGTGCAGTATCTTGTAAGCTTAAATCCTACTGAAGCTCAATGCTGCATACAACTAAACCTGTTTTATTTATCACACCAAGAGCTTCCTTGGAAGATGAGCCGCTACTGCAGTGCAGAACATCCATCTCCATTAGCAGTACAATGTTTGATACTAGTCAAAATGCTTCACCACCAGCCTTTCAATGTCCACCAGCTGCTCCAAGTGTTGGAGAGCCTTCTCCTGACTCCCACCAGCAGCAATGATGCCAGCACAGCTGATCATTTGGTGCATGTGTGCACAAACCGGAAGAGAATCTGGTGATCTTTTCCATGACATGTTAGCTTTGCCATATTAGCGGATGGCATAAGGATGTGTAGATACTGCTGTGAATCCAACGGGATGATCTGTTAAGGAAGTAGCATTGCTGTGTAAGTCTCGTCATCCTTGTGAAGAGTTCAAATGGGATAAACTACACAGTGGAAATTGGAGACTGGGATCTTCTCTCTTCTTATAGAGACAGCCTGGTAGTGTTGCTATATACTGTTGGCTACAGGGAGGAATTAAATCTCCAAATTCGAGTTACTTTCCAGTACATAAACATGCTCTGTGCTTCTGCTGGTAAATAAATAGCAGTGAAACTTTGCGCTGTGCACTCAGCGTATTACTGCAATCAATTCACAGCTTACAAACAAATATAGCTCTCCAGATCCTATCACATAAGACAGTCTGGATGCTTGGAGTGTCTCCTGGCTAGACCAGAGAGCTAAATGTTAGCAATGCAATGCAGAGTGCTTCCGAGAATAGAAAAATGGGCATGTGTAAAGCAGGTTCTCTTCAGTTGTGTTCTGTGGGCTGCTGGGACACTCACAGAAATGACCTTGATACCAGGGTGTCTGCCTAAAACACCCTTCTGAGAGGCCCTAAAAGGTTTTGCTTGAAGTCCTCTGTTGCTGACTACATTTATATGCTGATGATTGTGAGTCTTCCCCAGGGGCAGACCATGACTGAGTTTGGGTTGCACCTCACTGTCAAGATGGGAGTTTTCACAAGCACAGTTTGTACTCTCCTCATATCTTTTAATGGGATACACAGGCAGAAAACTGAGAGTTGGAAAACTGAGTTTTATCTGCCATGTGTACAATTGTCTACTGAGATTAAAATAACCATTTTTAGAAGAAGAGAAAAAAATTTGTCATGAAACTGATTTTTTTGTGGTTTTTTTTTTTTTTCCTAAGGGCACACCTTATTAAGACAGGTATGTAAATGCAAATCTTAATTTTCATTAGGAAGCAAAAGCATATTTCTAGTCCCTATGTATAACCAAAGTTATACAAGAAAACTCCAACATTGACAGATTCCTAAAAGTTATCATTTTTAAGCCACTCTCATGATGAATTGAAGAAGGAAAGATAAAATTCTTGAGGTTGGTAATGCTGAAAACAAAGTTTCATATGGTAAAACTCCAGTAATAGGAAAAAATCCCTGAAAAACAAGTCTGGCAAAGCAGGATGTGCAAGGATCATTTCTCAGTTCCTCACAGAACTCTCCATTAGCAATGCAACAGTGCAGAGCAGTCGTGAGCTCTGAGATGGAGACTGGAGGTGACAAAAAAATCTTATTCTTTATAATAGTAATAGGAGAAGCCAGGCCACGTGCCTGGAAGTATTCAGTGCTAGGCATTTGTGCCTAAGAGAAATGCTACTGTTGTATCCGGGTAGGAGAAAACTCACACCATATTAGTTTCCTGATAATTATGTGATGCTTTGTCAGAGAAAAAGATTAGTTTAAGGAAAGACATGAAGCAACAACTGATGAAGGCATATATGCCAATACAGGCAAGAGAAGAGACTGGAAGGAGGAGCCTGAGAGATTCTGTGGGAAGGGAGGGACAGGAAGATTGAAGATGGCTTCAAGGGTATAGGGCAGAGAGAAAGCTTATGATATAGCATATCATGGGAAAATATCTTCTGGTGAAATCTGAGGATTTTGTGTGGTTTTGTGGGATTTCTGGACTCTGAGAGCAGGGATCCTTGGAGGGTCTGTTTTTTCGGGTGTCTGAGACAGATTGAGGTCTATGCCCATCCACATGGCTCTTCACCCATTAGTGGGGGTGCATGGACAGTTTTGGCAGTGTGTTGATAGAGCCTCTTGCTCCATAGGAATGTTCAGTTCATGTGCTATAAACTTGCGTATCTATCTCTGTCTCAAATATCCTAGGCAAATAAATATTCCCATTGAATGTATCCAGCCAAAGAAAATGCCCACAACAGATGTTTTTTAAAGTGGGGTTTTGGACAGACTAAGTGCCATTTGGTATTAAGACAGGAAATAATCAGGAAATAATCTGTGTTGCTGCTCCAGGCCTCCCTTGTCCTGGCGTAGTCAGCTTCAAACCACAGCTCCAGAGAGCTGAGTGAGGCTTGGGCAGAGAGACAGGTGGACAGATTGGCAGACAGTGGCTTTGGTGCTCCTCTGGAGGGAAACGTCAGTGTCTGGACCTCGTGACCTGGCGCTAGTGAGGAGTTGCAAGGCTGACAAGAGGCTAAATAAGTCCCTCAGGTTTCACTGAGGAATGGCACGGTCACCAGAAAGCATCTGTGGAATTAGCAGCTCTTAAGTGAAGAGCCACCATTGGAAAATGCAAACCTGCATAAGAGAAATTATTGAAAGTGTCACAAGGGATGTGATATGGGAGCCAGTCTTGTTTTCAGCAAATCTCCTGCAGCCCAATTACTCACTGGCTGCCATAACTTGATATATTTTCTGCTGCCAATAGTGGTCATTTTGTATGAACAAGGACTGTCTTTAAAGTATGTCCATGTTACCACTCTGCAACATCACAGCAAGGAGAAAGGCAGCTTGGGATGTATTGAGGTGGTCATTGAATTGGTCAATAAGTTGATATTCAGATATAATGTGTAACAAGCTGGAGTTCACATCTGAGTATAGGGAAGAGATGACACAGATTAAGTGTATCTTTTTATCTAATGTTTCTGCTACAAAGCAGGGTCAAGACTTATCTACTTCTGGTGTACCTACCGAGCTTGACAACTCAGAAAGCCTACTCGAGAAGCACTGAAGCAGACTTCTTGCTTAATCTCCTTTCTTCTACACAGCCAGAACATAGATGTCCACAGTGTGTGGAGGTACAACAGACAGAGGCAGTGGGTGGAAAACTGTGAGATCACAACTGTGAACTGCAGCAGAGAAGCCATTTGGGAACTGTTCTGTAATGGGATGTGGCAGTGACCTACCAGAATATAGAAACAGTTATTAACTGGAGTCCTTTAGTTAAAATGGTGTATGCAAGGGTAGTGCAGTAAACCACTATTTTTAGACTTTAAGGATACCTTGTATGCACTTGAAGAGAACCTAAGGTATGTTCAGCCTTCTTCACTAAAAATTAATGCAAGTAACGCATTTACAAAATGTACCCCTAGCATTTTGAAGGCTGAAGGTGACCTGGAGAAGTGTTGGGAGCTGTTCAGGAAATTTTTCTTGCCAACTTTCTAGTGGTGGTTATTTTGTGTACAGCATTATTTTCCTCCTTTGGGGGGATAGAAAGCATAATGCAGCAGGGCAGGCTGAGTGCTTCAAGTTCCCTGAAAGGAAGTTGAAAGTGAAGATCCCAAGTCCTGTTTTGCTATGTGTTATCCCCATTTGTAATATGAAATATGGGTTTCAGATCTGGAGCAGAGCACATGTGGTCCCAGCACGCGATGGTGAAGTGCCATAGGGCTGAAATAGCATTCATCTTCCAGCTTCCTCACCCTCACATTAGCTCCTGGTTAATTTGCCCACATGTACACTTTTGCACGATAGATAATAATGTTTCTTCTGGTCAATCCGGTTGAAGTAAATGTATTTGCATTGAAGGAAGAGGTCTGCATGTCCAGTATAAAATTCCTTGCCAAGAAGGGAAGATTAAGGCCACGTCTTACCAAGGCAGCCCATGGTGGCAGTCAGTGATATGGTCTGAGCAGCACTCACTGGGCTTTGCTTGTGGGCTCTGCAGTGACCAGCATGCCGGTGTTGCCGCCAGGGTTTCTTGTTATGAGGTGCTGAATTCCTCCTTTAAGGATAAATGGGTAGATGGCTGTGAAATTGACTGGTTTTGGCCATGTGACATTTTCTGACCCTGCTTGGGGCTTCCAGCTTTAGTGGTCACATTTGGGTGGGATGGGCTAGATGTTTAGGGCAGATTTTCCGCATTTCAGTGTTTTTGGAGAAACTTTTCATTTCAGTTAAAAAATAATAAATTCTGTAATGCTGTGTTTTAAAAGTCAAAAATCAAAACAATGTTTAATTGATGCCAAATTAATTTTTCGAGGAAATTTTCCTTCCTGGAGGCTTTCCAAGTGCTCTATTTTTGTTGTCATTAAGAATGAAGACCAGATTTTGAAATCTCATATTTCCCTGAATGAAACCTTGATCCCCTGCTTGCTCCAGTCATTAACTGTTTGCGTTCTGACATGGGGGATCCAGTGATTGGCCTGTGACACTCGTGTTCCCTAAAATGGCTTCTCAGCACTTTCAGGGCAGAAGCAGATGGAGCCAAGCATTTCCCCAGGCAGCTTGCCAGTGAAGTCAATGGTGGGCCTGCAGTTTGTTGCTGAAGAAAATGACGTGAGCAAAGCTGACTGAATTTAGCCAGTTGGTTTTTTTTAACGTAGTTTTAAATCTTACCCAAAAAAGGGATGATTTTTCGGCACGAGTCTTGCTTGTGATGTGTTAAGGTGTTTAGTAGGAGAGGAGTGCTGATCACTGGATCCTTAGGTCATGCTGGTCTGGAAAGTTACCCCAGGCCCCTGTGGAGCTGAAATGTCTCCCACAGCCTCCATTTCTCTGCATGCCTAAAGAAAGCCTGTACAGATGCCATCTATCTTACTCTTCCTTGTTGCTTTCCCCTCTTTACATTTTCAGGCTGTCCAGCACAGATTGGTGTTTATTATTTGGCTTTTCCACATTTTCTGTATGTCATGATCTCTGTCTTTGCAAATAAAAAGGACCAGGCACAGTACAACCCACATCCATGGGTCTGAGGTTTCTTGCCCATTGCAGAAGGGCAGCAGCATCCAAGCTGACAGCTACAAGCAACCCTTGACATAGGCTATTCTCAGGCAGGGCTTGGGTGTTGTATGGGAAAGGAGTAGTTGGTGCAAGCCAAAATTTTGCTGGGCAATGTGCTAGCAGTTCAGCAGAATGGAAAGCTGTGAGGCAGTTCTCACGTCCACAAGCTCTGCTAGTGCAGATGCAGCCCAAGCTGCCACTCGTCTCTGCTGCTGGTTGTCATGTAGGGCTGGGCACTGAGGGGCTGAGCCCTTGCAGTAGAAGCTCCTTGCCTGCTGTGCCTCAGCTCTGTGTTGTAATGACCCTACTCGCTGCTGCTTCACATAATTTTTGCTTTTCTAGGAAGGTGGCAGCTTACCTCTGGTATGTGATCTTGGGCCTGTGAGCTGTCCTTATGGAGTGACTCTTGTTCTTGTCTTTCTTTCAGACAAAGAGTACTTGAAGGAGAAGGAAAAGTTGGAGATGGAACTGGCAGCTGTGCGTTCTGCCAATGAGGACCAGCGGAGGCACATTGAAATCCTTGACCAGGCCCTAAACAATGCTCAAGCCAAGGTCATCAAACTGGAAGAGGAGGTGAGGCATGGACAACATTTCTGTGCTCTGAGGATAGATGTGGCTTGCAGTTAGGTCTTTCTCCATCCAAGTCCTGATTCTCTTCTAGCCACAGTGTGGTAGGTCTTCCTGTTTCCCTTGAATTGGCGCTCTTATAGAGAAAATGTGTAGTTATACAATACTGAGACAAACAAGCAAGCAAAGGAGACCACAACCATAGGCGTTTCCATAGCAGAGCCTTCAGCGTGTAACCAGGAGCAAGACCAAACTCATTTAGTTAATTGATGGCTGAGGTAATGGTACAACTTAACAGAAAAAGCTAATTAAAAAACTGACCTGGGACTGTGATACAGACATGTGATGTTGGTGCATCCCATTTCTCTCCAAAGAATACCAGGAGGCTTTTGAGATGTGCACAGCAACACAGCAGTGTAGGGCTTGGTAACTTTACACCTTAAAAGGTCTGGCTGAAGGCAGACTGACCAGGATTTAGAGGTACAGAGAGCTAGAGGTTTTGTTTGAGAGCTGAAGAGAACCTATCATACCATATCTCAATTTATTGTATTCCTTAAGGACCTTCAATCAAGAGGTATGGAATTAGTACCTAGTTCAAAGTCTATGCATTCTAGCAGACAAGGCAAGACTGTCAAAACAGGCCTTTTCGGCTCTAAAATGTCTGTCAATGGGACCAACAAAGAGGGAGACTGTTTTATGGGAAGTAAAAGAAACATAATCTTTACCATCTGAGTGGGCAGGTCACTGGTGAGGGAAAGGCCATTGGTGAACCTCTACCCTTGCAGATTTGATAGGGGTTCAGGCTTTGGCACAAACTGTTGGCACAATCTTGGGCAGGTCTGTTCTGCTTTAGAGCCTCATTTTCCACCGGCACCCTCCCCAGGGTTGGCCAGAAGGGGAATCCACAGGACCCTGCTGAGTGCATGGATACAAGGGGTCTTGTGAGGAGAAGGGAAAGCTTTTCTCAAACTTGTGCAAGTAACTTAGGTGCTGTTGTTTGCCTTGGAAAGATAAAGGGTGAATTGACCTCAGTGATATTTGAATGTTTCCTATCAGGGTATCCAGCAGACAGACCTCCTGTTAGGCTAACTAATGGTTCATTTGAGTCTGGAAGATTTATGGTACTATATGTAAGTGCTGAAGGCATTGTCTTTTTGTACATGATCATTAGACCATTCTGACTTCCTATTTAGAAACACTTTAAAAACTCCTTTTCCTCCAGTGGATACCCTCAGCAGCAAGAAGAGGATCACGTTAAGTTTAACTGCTCCTTTGTTAGTTAGATTAAAGCCTGCTCACTGCCCTGGTGTATTTGGGGCAGTCCCTTTGGGGCAGCTGCAGGAGGCAGCATACCTTTAATCTGTACATGATTCACTTGACACTGTTTGGCTTAAAGGCAACTCGAGGTTTTCTATTTGCATTTCATTACAAAGTGGCTGAATAAGGGAATGTTTTAGGTGGCAACACATGCTCCTACAGCCATGACATCATGCAGAGGATGGGAAGAAATACATTTAGCTCCTGTCTGCTCCATAGACTGTCAGTGTCGTGTTGGCAGGTAACATTGACTTGCTGAGTACACACTAGTGAAGGCAGAAGCATAAATGCCGATTCCCATGCAGGTGGTGCAAGAATCTACCTTGTGCCTGCTGGGTTGTAGTAAATATGTTTGCAGCCTTAGGGCTCTGTCTCTAAGAGCTTGGCAGTAGCCAGGTTTTTGTCTAGTCATCCAACATAAATGTACCTCTGCTGGATCCTGGATTGTGGATTGGCGGAGCCGAAGAGAGATTAAAGCTTCCCCTCTAGAGAGCTCCTAATCTCCTGCCAGGGCGTGGCAGATGTTATGGAGGTGGTAACTTCCTGCCTGGGACGCTGTAGATGTTACAGAGGGGGTAACCTCCTGCCCGGGCCATAATAGATCTTAGAGGTGACATATATGAAAGTGATGCAACAGTATTTGCCAGAGTTTGTCTGACAGAGCCCTCAGCCTGGACAAACTCATGTTGACCTGATAGTTTTTAATTGCTTTTTTCATTCTAAGGAGAGTCCAAATGAATTTTAGACCAGATGCCGTGTTTTAATTGTTCAAGGCAGTATCAGGCACCTCGGGTAAAGTGCAGTTAATCTGAGGCTGCTGGCATGTGCCCAAGTGCCTGTGCTCACTTTCCCTTGTTTTTGTCCTGTTTCATAGCTAAAGCAGAGCAACTTTTCAACAGTCTCCAGTGTTTCTGGGTCATAATTTGACACATGCAGCAGATATAGCTGTAGTGTTAAACCTTCAAGTTAAACCACGGATTTTTACTATAATTGGGAATATATTAAAGGAAACACAAAATCACTCAAATCCAATGACTTATTGTTAATAGAGCTCTAGCTCATGCACTGCTTGGTAAATCCACACAGATTTCTTCTATCACCAGAGTGTAATTAAGTTTAACAGCTTTTCAGATCAAGCCTTGAGAAATAAGCAGTAGCTACTAAGTTGAATTAAGATAAGACAGTGTACTGTGTACATCAGCATTATCCTGAGTGCCTCCTAGTAGAAGGATTTAATTAAAAAATATGTAGGTGGCATTAACACCACATGTCATTTAGGAGACTGCTGGTGGAATTGTGTTTTCTGGTCCATGCTTTAGATAGAAGACTGGATAATTGGAGAGGGTTCAGAAAACAACTGTAGCATTTATGTGGGGCCCAGAAACTGTTCTTTGCTGTGAACAATTAAAGTGAAGAGGTGGTTGAGCTCCAGTCCATGCACATGAGCATGAATCACAGAATGGATAAGGTTAAAAGGGGCCACAGAAGGTCACCTGGTCCAACCTCCCTGCACAAGCAGGGTCATCGTAGAACACATGGCACAGGATTTCCTCCAGAAGGTTCTTAAGTACCTCCACGTGAGGAGACTCCACAACCTCTCTGGGCAATCTGCTCCAATGCACAGTGACCCTCACAGTAAAGACGTTCTTCTCGTATTCAGCTGGAACTTCCTGTGCATCAGTTTCTGCCTATTGCCTCTTCTCCTATGGCTTGGCACCAAGAAGAGCCTGGCTCCATCCTTGTGACCCCCTCTCTTCAGATACTTATAGACATTGATGAGGTCCACTCTCAGTCGTCTCTTGAGGCTGAACAGCTCCAGCTCCCTCAGCTATTTCTTGTAGGAGAGATACTCCAGTCCCTTAATCATCTTTGTAGCCTTTCATTGGACCTGCTCCAAGAGCTCCATGTCTCTCTTGTACTGAGGAGCCCAGAACTGGACATAGTGCTCCAGATGTGCCTCACCAGAGCTGAGTAGAGAGGCAGGATCACCTCCCTCTACCTGCAGGCAATGCTCTTCTTAATGCATCCCCAGATTCCATTGACTGCCTTGCCACAAGGACACACAGCTGTCTCATGGACAACTAGTTGTCCACCAGGACCCCCAGGTGCTTCTCCACAGAGCTGCTTTCCAGCAAGTCAGTCCCCAGACTGTGCTGGTGCATGGGGTTATTCTTCCCCAGGTGCAGGACCCTGTATTTGCCTTTGTCATATTTTGAACCATTCTTCTCTGACCATCTCTCCAACCTGTTGAAGTCCTTCTGAAGGGCTGTGGAGACCTCTGGGGTATTGGCCACTCCTCCCAGCTTTGTGTTGTCAGTGAACTTGCTGAGGAGGCATCAGCCCCTTCATCCAAGTCACTGATGAATAAGTTAAACAATACTGGGCCCAGTATTGAACCCTGGAGGACACCACTACTGACAGGTTTCCAAACAGACTTTGTGCCACTAATTATGACCCTCTGGGTTCTGCCTTTCAACCAGTTCTCAATCCACATCACTGTCCACTCATCCATTCCACACTTCCTGAGTTTACCTGTGAGGATTTGTGAGAGACAGTGTCAAAGGCCTTGCTGAAGTCGAGGTAGACAATATCCACTGCTCTCCCTTTATCCATCCAGGGATGGATGAAGAAGGGATTGCTGTCAGACAGATTAAACTTTGCTATATAACTACATAAAAAGAAATAATGAGATGCAGTGTTTGGGGGCTGCAGCTGAGCAAATCAGGCTTGAAATAAAGAGTTAGAGTAATGAACACTGAAACAGCATACTTAGGTGATAGTGGCTTCTCCATCTCTGTAAGAGTCTTTCACTCAAATCTCGTACTATAGAATTCTGCTGCTCAAACTGGAGTCACATTTCTAGTGTAGATGTTTTTCCAAGACCTACTCATCTTTACTCGGATTTATTTGCTTGGATCATCCCTTTTTAGCCTTAGCTCTTCTTCATCTTGATTTTTCTAATCCCTGGGACAAGGGCACTGTTCAGGCAAGTTTGCTGATCTTGTGAATAAGAGAATTGTTTAATTAAATGCTTCTCACTCTAGCAGATCACAGTTTGGAAACAGAACAAGAAGTAATTTGCTTAAATTGCATAAGAGAAATCCAGATTAGGCATTAGGGTAAAAGTTTTCTGTCGAGATAGGTTGTGGAGTTCCTACCCCTGGGGGATTTTGTAAACTGATTGTATAGACGTGCCAGGTTTTAGGTACAGTTGATCCTACCTTGCAGCAGGAAGATGGACTGGTACCTCTCCAGGTGCCATCCAGCTTTTTTTTATTAGAGTCTGTGTGTCTGTGAGGTGTTAGAGCTTAGTATCACATATCTCTGATTGTAGTCCCTCCTTCCTTATGGATACACACTTCACTGACAACCCATTAATTAAAATAGCAACATTTTATACTTAATTTTTTTAATGCATGGGTGATTGTTTTGCTTATAAATCTACACGCAGGATAGAAAAGTCAAGAATTGGCTCAAAAATCTCCCTGTAAATTTATGAATGTGAGAACTGTCTTGTTGCCTATCTCCTACAAAATTGTTTTCGAAAGCAGAGGACACATGAACATCACTTCACCCACATGGGTACAGGTGCACTCATGTGCGACTGTGTGAACCCTGGGTCTCAGAGGGCTGCTCCAAAGCCAAGTTGTGGCTGCTGTGATACAGATGGACCGTGCAGCTTCTGGCAGGACATGGGAGAGCAGATGAGGGACACTGAGGAGCTCCCTACCCCCCTCCAATCCCTGCTGGTGCGGCTGGGAGGCGACACAAACACCTTCCTACTGCCAAAATTGCACATTCAGCAAGAAGCCACTGCTGTGTTTGTCTTGCCAAGTTGTGAGCTCCTGAGGAATGCAGTCTTCGAGCTGCTGCCAGAGACTAGGGGGGATTATAATCTCATTAATTTTCATGGAACGCCTAGGGAGCTGTAAGCATTAGCCTGGATTGCAACAGAGCTAGAGTGGTCACACTGCCAGTTGTTGGCTCTGCCTGGTGAGGTTTGTTTAGGCCAAGCTTTGCTTTTGCTGCGAACAAGCTTGTATTTCACTTCACCTGTGACATGGATGGATTTAGGGTGGCAGAAGAGGAATTCATACCTCTTTTGGGGTATGCTTCTTGAGCAATCTCTGGCTGTAAAACCCTGTATTGGAAAATCCTTGTATCATGTTTACTCCTTCAGTAATTGCATTATATATGTAACAAGGGCCCAGCTTCATCTGTCAGGACATCTACAGATCAGTATGGACAAGACTGTGAGCAGGGTAGAGCAGATGGAGCACTTCTGACTGCTGGCACTCTGTTTGTTCCACATGTGTTGAACAAATATGCAGAACTGAAAAAAACCCCCTCTCTGTTCAGGTGCAGGCAATGTGCCAAATGTCACCAGTCAGTTAAACCCACCAGGATTTCTCTTAACTGGGTCCAGCCTCTGTGTTTGCACAAAGAGTATCCACCATTGTGATATCTCTTGCTTAGAAATGGCCAGGGTGGTTCGTGGTTAACAGATTCCCAGTGGTTGGAAGGTCTGGGCAGCATTCCCTCCTAAAGGGGTAGCACTACCCCAGCAATGCCTGCTGTGCATATTCCCCATTCGTCAGAGGCACCATGCTTCCCCTAGGGAAACTCTCAGAAGCAAATGGCTTGAGCCCAGTGCATGCCTGCAAGTGCACAGGGGTCCCAGCAGCCCAGGGTGGGGGTGCAGGGCCCTCCAGCACTGCTGACCCCCTGTACTCCACAGCTGCGCAGGAAACAGGCCTATGTGGAGAAGGTGGAAAAGCTGCAGCAGGCGCTGACACAGCTGCAGGCAGCCTGCGAGAAGAGGGAGCAGATGGAGCGGCGGCTGCGCACACGCCTGGAGCGGGAGCTGGACTCACTGAGGATGCAGCAGGTGAGAATGGGATGGTCTGTGCAGCACAGGGCCTTCAATGTTGGTTTTAAAGAGGGACGGTCACTTGCAGGCCTGCTAGCTGCTACCTTGCTTTTGGGTTCAGGCTGTTGGGCTTTCCTCCCAAACCATTCCTTTGGATGGGGTTGTGGATCAAGTGTTCGAGGTCATGTTGCATGGGGCTTTGAGACACTTGATCTCACGAAGTTTTGCCTGCCCATGATGAAGGGACTGGATTTAGAATATATTTGAAGGTCCCTTCCAAGCCCAACCAGTCTATGATTCTTACTCCTGATCTTCAGCAGAGGATGGGGCAGCTCTGCTGTGGGGCTGCTGGACACGGCCGAGCCCTGCCTGCTGCAGGGCTGAGAGGTCCTGGTTCCCCTGCCCAAGGGCAGGCAGGGCTCTACCCTTGCATGGAGAAAACATCCTTCCAGGTTTCTCTCCAGCAATGACATATTGTGCAAAATCAGCTCCCCACAGAAGAAGGAGAGGAAAGGTACAGTACACGTGGGTGTGAGATTTAGCCCACAGATTTTGGCTGGTCTTTCATTGAAAAAGTAAGGTGGGATGATGTGGGATTTGGTAGGAGCAGGACCTTGGGCCATACTTGTTCTGTGCAAAGCTTGATGTATGTGGTTCACAGAAACCTCAGTCCATGACAGATCTGGAGGCAAATAGTGTAATCTTCAGACAATAAATTTATTTATCAGTCCAGTCCAGAATGGGCTATAAGTGTAGATTTGCATTTCTCTGTGTGCGCCCTTGGTTTTTGGCAGCCCTGTGTCCTTAGATGGGTAGTGTTATGCTTGTATTTTATGCACAATCATTCCTTTGTTATAACTCCTCCACCCCTAAGTCCCAAATTCCAGTCACCTGTGAAAAGGAAAATAAAAAAAGCGTAAGGAGGTTGCAGGAAGAATTGTCAGGCTGCAACCCACACTGAGTGCCAAATACATGGGCACTGGCTCAGGAGGAGAGCGAGCAGATGTGCTAAATGTATCAAACTACAGCTTGGGGAAGAACCAGCAACATAAGCAAAGCATGATGCTCTTGCAATTCTGAAGGGCTCACTCATATCTGTCATCGCAGGCATCTGCTGCTATAACCTTTACTTATTTATAAGGCATTAGTGGAAACCAAAGCAGCTGTTACACAGAGCTTGTGCTGCCAGAAAGCAGAGGGGCTGATCCTGCCGACAGGATGGGGTTGGGAAATAACTCTACAGTGAGTGTCAGTGGTTTGCAGAGTCATCAGATGGCCAGACCTGAGAGCATCCCCTTCTTGCCAGCAGCCCCAGGGCAGGGCAGATCTCCCCAGAACCCTTCCGCTCTCACTGCTGGTCCCTGGAGACCCTTGTCATTCATCTTGACTCTTCCATTCTGCCATCTAAGTATGTTAAGTCTTTCTTGCCCTGTCCACCATGGGCTTGCTGTTCAAGTCTTGTTCCGGTAGCTCTTCTCAGTTCCCCCTTAGCCAGCTTTCCTCCAGTTTAACAAAGGAATTACTTGGGGTATGACATGCTAATGCTGGTGTAGATGAAAGAACACTTGAGAAACATAAAATTAAAATTCAAGTGAAGGTAAAAGTAGAACTAAGAAAGGCTGGAATATAGGGACAAGTTGATATATAAAGTAACTTGGGATGGACTGTTGCTGAAGTCCTTGTCTTGGGAGTTCAGGCTACATTGTTCATTTTGGCAGAAAATTCCTCTGTAACTTACAGATTCCTTAATTTTTAAATTTTTTTGGCACTGTAACTAGCATTTGGATTTTGGGTTGACACAGCTCTCAAATGCCTGTACCCATTCTGTCTAGTAAGTTTTAAGAGGAGAGATACTCTAACTTCTTTTGTTACCTGTCAGCTTTGAGAGGAGACTTTGGGGTTTTTTTTACTATTGTTATTTATACTTTTCATTTATGAGCCACAATGCTACAATGAATCATGTGGCATCAAAATGCCCCAGCTTTTTGCTTCAGAGCTATCTTCTCTGAGCTATTAAAATTATAGCCACTGAGACATGTTCTCATTGCAGAGAAAAAAAGGGGATTTTTTTCCCACTTTTAATAGAGTCAGTAGAAGAGATACAAGGAGACACTGAGGCAGAATCTATTCTATCCCTGGCTTGCTGGTAGCTGAGTCCAAATGGAAATCTTCATTATCACTGATGAAACAGTTGGACCCAAAAAACAATCCCTTTGAGGCTGAGCATGCAGGGCTGGCAGGGCTTTTGACTCAGAAGACGACAGGCATCCATGATGTCCCAGGTTGCCATTTGTAGACCAGGACCGTGCTTCTAAAATATTACCTTTCTGCTAGAGATTTGACAATATTTTTGCAGGAGCAGAGTCACAGCCATTGCTCCCAAGGGCCACTCCATATTGCATTTCCGGAAAGCAGCTTCCAAACACATTGTTACTGCACCAGAGGCAAAGGCTGCAGCCTTTCCCTAGTATCTCTAGTTTCTTGTAAGCAGGAGATAAGTGTCTAGAAGAAGGAAATGTAGGTTGGAAAATGGAAATGGTTGCTGCAGCCCTCACTGCAGTGTGATGGTACAGCTCCACAAGTGCACATTCATGATGTAGCATGAATGAGAAACCAGCGGTCCTGAGGCACCATTTCCGGTTTAGCACAATACTGTGCACCATGCAGTGTGACAAATCTCTTGGTTTTTTTTATTTAAAAATTCATTTATTTCTGCTGAGTTCTCCCAGAGCTTCACACCTTTCTCCTTGGCATGTGTTCATCCCTCTGCTGAGCTGAGGACCTAATCTCCATCTGCCTCAACTCTCTCTCTGCAGTGAGAGGATCTCAGGGCACCTACCCATGCTGCTTAGGTGACTTAATTAAGTGCTGTAACTGGGTGGGATAAATCCTGCCTGGGTAAGCACTTTCCTTTCAGTGTAGATGCAAAGAGTTACTCAGCCACTGCTACTTGTCAGCATCCCATAGGAGCCACCCCACAGTGCCTCCGATCAGAAACTTAGCTGCTACACTGCAGAAAGCATCTCTTGAGGGCACATGAGAACTAATGTGCCAGAAGAGGCTGGTGTAAATGCATGTCTGGGTTATTTTCCCAGCTGCTGTTGTAAATGGGTTACATGTCACTTTCTTTCAGGTTTTATATATAGGTAGAAACTGACTGTCCATAGTGAGCACTGCTCAGCCATGGGATGAAGTTGCAGTAAGAAAAATATCTTTCAAAGCTTCATTGCTTCTTTTTCCAACCAACTTCTTTTCCTGTTTTTTCCTTGGTGTGGGGTATTCCGTAAATCCCTGCAGATCCAGAGAGCAGCCTGTCAGCATGGTCTGGGGAGCCATGTGCTGGGTTTGCACATATGGTCAACTTTCCTGTTCTCCTGCAGGCTAAGGGGTTTAGCCTGGGGTTTCCACCTGCCCCTGTCAAAAGACATGGGGATGTCTTCACATGCTCCATGGAATTGGGGAAAAACAGATCAGCAACTCCCACGCTTGGCAGGGGATGAATGTCTGTTGCTCTTTCCAATGACAGAGGCAGGGCAGCTACCAGGCAAGCAGCCTCCCGGAGCACAATGCCCCAGCCCTGATGGAGCTGGTGCGGGAGAAGGAGGAGAGGATCCTGGCCCTGGAAGCTGACATGACCAAATGGGAGCAGAAGTACCTGGAGGAGAGTACGATCCGGCACTTTGCCATGAATGCTGCAGCCACAGCTGCAACGGAGAGGTAAGATGACCTTGCTGTAAGCAGGCAGCTCTCTTCACCGTGGAAAGCATGGGGAAACAATACAAAGTGGATATTTTCTTAAGGCTGGATGTTGCTTGCCTTTCCCCGCTGAGTTGCACCACCAGGGTTAATGCACCTCTCTGTGGTATCATGCCAGTGAGATACAATATTTGGTTAAGACGGGATTTATTCTTCTGACTAGGTCCAAAAGTTTATCAGGTCTAAGCACCTGATTCAAGCAATAGCCTCAATGGCAAAGTCTCAGGGTGCCAAATTACACAGGACAGGTAAGGCAGCTCCTCCCAACACATCAATGGAGTGAGAAGGGACTGTTGGTATATGGCTGCATCCGTTCCATGGCCTGCAATGCAGTTGTTTAACCTGTTATGAGGGAAATTTTGTGGCCTAAATCCTCTCTTTCACTGCTTCATTAATCTTCAAACTAAAATGGTTTTCCTGATAGCTAAGCTAAACTTCTATACTGCAAATTACCTCCATTGATTCTTGTCCTTCCCAGGTGTACACGATGACAAACAGATCACTGTTGATGTTCAAACAGCCCTGTAAATATTGGAAAACAGATATTCCTTCTTGTATCTTCCCTGGTCTGAACTAACTTACTTCGTTCAGCCGTGCCTGACATGTCCTAGTGTAAACCCTTTCCCATTCACATTGCATTTGTCTGGACTATCTGTCTCCAGTTTGTCTGTGCCAAAGCACGATGCCCAAAAGCGCAAAAGGCAGTGAGACTTTACAGTGATCAGAAGGATGGAATAATTAACTTCTGCCCCCAGTTTCTTAGAAACCAAATCCTCAGAAATTATCCTAAAAAGAGTTTTTCCTTCGAAATAAGTTTTAAATGCATGACTCAGGATGGTCCTTTCCTTTTGCACTTCAGTTTAGGCAGCAATTCCCATGTTTTTTTCAACTGGCAAAGTGTAGAGCTTTGTTCCTAGTTTGCAACGTAGTCTTGCTGACTTGGGACCCAGTGAGTGAGTCTCTCTGATGTCTGACCATGTCCCTTAGGATGGTTGTTAGCCCTGCATGGGTCACCCATGATTTCAGCATGCTCTCTCTTCCTTCAACCCAGTTAAGTTAATGGCATTAATGATCAAACCCAAGCCAAGAGTAGCCTGCAGCAGGATGACCCAATGCCAGATAGCCCTCCACTTGACAGGCAACCATCGCTAGCTTGCTCTTTGAACGTGGGTTTGGGGTTTTCTTTGCAAGTGCCAATCTCACTTGCAAAAGCCACCCTCACAGTCTCAGGAGCCTGACTCACTGTGGTGACCCTCTTTGCCAGGGATGCCTCGGCCCCAAGCCACTCACGCAATGGCAGCTACGGCGAGATGGCATTGGAGGTGCGGGGCTGGCAGGAAGAGGAGGAGATCGTGCAAGCCAACCGGCGCTGCCAGGACATGGAGTACACGTAAGGGGACCTTGTGCCATACCTGCTTGCTGTGGTGTTTGGGCTGGGTTCAGATAAACCAGGATGCCCTTATATTTCTTCCTGCATGCCTGGAAAGGATGGGCTTAGCTTTACGTTGACTTAGTTTTGCTCTTCAGCGTTAAAGCAGGGATTAAAGGGTTGTTGTCGTTAGATAACTTCCTTCCTAACTTCCTGTGACAAAACTGACATTCTTACCAAACAGAGGCTGTTCTACGATTAAAAGTAGGTTGGCATATAAGGCAGCTGAGTGCTTGTTTAATCTTTGTGAAAATCTCCCTCTGGAAGCAGGAACATCTGGCCATAAAAGCTGAAGTCGGAATCCCACTCGTTTGTAATCAGCAACATGAGGGCATTCCTTTGCCTTGCTCTTCGCTCCTTGCCTGCTTATTGCTCTTTCTAGATACACTCAGTTTTCCACATTCAAGTTGTTTCTTCAGTGTTGGCTTCCCCACAAAAATGCAAGTCTGCAGACACTTTAATAAAAAAGGTGTATTTTTTTATTAAATAGTGGTTGTTTTTACTGGGTTTGGTTTTTGTTTTCCACTCACAGATGTAAGATAATCCTGCTTCCAGGGAAGTAGTAGAGTTTTGCCATTGACTTAATTAAAGATAGATTAGCATCTTGTGTTTTCATTGCAAATTAGACATCCGATTATGAAAACAAATGCCAACATGAAGTTACTATCTGTCTCCTTTGTATATATAGGTGTTCCAAATGTGGCATTTTAGCTTTCACTGCTGCACAAAAGCTGTGCAGATGCATTGTACTATGTATTGTACAGCACAGTCAAGCCATAGTCATCTGACTATCGTAGTGTACGGGAGTTTTTTTAAATATAGTTTTGTAGTCTTTCAGTATGATTTGGTGCTAATCATTCCTGGAGAAAAATCTCAGATAATCCCGTTTTTGAGTGACTTGAGTCTTCAGGGTCTGTATGAGAAGTAGTGAGCTTTGCTTGGCCCTGCACACCATGTGCTGATTGTTTCTGCAGCAGTGATGGAGAAGCAAGAGCCCAGGCCAGCTGTTAGATAGATCAAAGGGAACCTTTCCCCTCGCTTCAGCAGGCCTTTACTCCAGCTGACAACAATTGTGGTGGAGGTAGCAACCTGCAGCCCAGTTAGGATACTGCCCTCATTACTCCTGCTGGAGCATTGATAAAGCGACAGCATAGACGGGTTCAGTTAACCTTGCAGAAAAGTTTTGCCTTAATAGCTAGAAATGCTGTCTGTTTCGAAGTGCATGGTTATCCTTGGAGGAACTGCTGATAGCTGCCTTGTCCAAGTAGCTCAAAAGCAGATGGGATAGAGCAGCAGGGCATGTACCTTGGGACCTCCCCGCTGCCCCAGGGTGTGGAGCCTTGCTCATATGAATGCCTTTTCCATTCCCATAAGCAGAGTGTTCATATTTTGCCAGAATAAAGAATCTCCATGCCAAAATTATTGAGAAGGATGCCATGATCAAGGTCCTTCAGCAACGGTCACGAAAAGATCCAGGGAAAGCTGACAGTGCCAGCCTGCGACCAGCTCGGTCTGTCCCCTCCATCGCTGCTGCTACGGGGGTGCATTCACGCCAGACCTCGCTCACCAGCAACCAGATAGCTGAGGAGAGGAAGGAAGAGAAGCTCTGGAAGGGAAGCATAGGTGAGTTCAGCTTTTGTTTAAGTTTTGGCTCATCCATCACTTCATCCTGATCCTTCTGCTTGAGCTTAGCAAAAGTGCCTTGGCACACATTGCCCTGACAGCTCATTTCCAGATTACTTTCCGTGGTTGAACGTGTGTCCTTGTGCTTAAGTAAAAAAAATTAGTCAGTTTTAAACCTTGCATTGTATCTTAATTATACTTTTAATCATATTAAATAGTTCTGCATTGGTAATAGAAAGCCAGAGTTGAAAGAAGTCCTCCCAGATACAAAAACATAATGTTTACAACTTTTTGGGAGTAAATAACAAGTTTGGGCTATTAAAAAAAGCCTGATTAAAGTTAATCAAGAGGGTGAGCATCCATGTGTGTAGGACTGCATGATGTGGCAGCTAAATGGGAAAATGAGTGCAGGACTGCCTGTGGTTTGGGGCTGCATAGGATCGGTGTGTGGAGGTGTGCAAGGATGTGGCAGGAGTAAGTACCACTGGGATGAGTGTGCAGAAGGGAACACAGGAAGGGGAACCTGCTTTCAAAAAGCTATTTGTAGGGAAGTACTATATGTATGTCAGAAAAAGAGCAACAGATAGCATCAAGGGTAAAAGCTAATCCAAGCTAAGGGTCTGGAGACATACCCAGACCAGCACCTTGTAGCTAAGGGGTGGAGCAAAGGGACAGCACTTGCATTTGAGCCAGCATGTGACTGACCTCTATGTGTTTTCAGGGCTGCTCTTGGGGAAGGAGCACCATGACCACCCACCAGGCCCCTCACTGCCTCCTCCTCTGCCCTCCTTGTCGTGCATACCTGTCCCAGTGCCGGCAGCCTCCCATGCGAAGACGGCCAGCAAAGACAGCAGCACCCAGACGGACAAAGCTGCCGAGCTCTTCTGGCCCGGCACTGCCTCCTTCCCCGGTCGGGGACGGCTGGGTACCACCCCGTCACACAGCCCAGCTCCACGGGCCCCGGGGACACGAGTGGCCTGCGAGAAGCTGGGTGAGCTCTGCCAGATCCCCATGTCAGTGCAAAATGTCAGCACCCCCCAGGCTGTCAGCAGATCCCCAGAGACACCCCAGTATTGATGACGTGTATATGTGTGTGATGCTATTACAGTTTGTTAGGCGGGGTGGAGGTTTCTCCAGGGAAACTAAAATTATGTAGAGGGAACTTTCCAAGGCTGCCCAGTCTGGCTTTGCAGAGCTTCATGCTCAACAGCTTCTGTAAAGCTCCACTCACCTGTGGCAGGCAGAGTTTGCAGCAAATGCAATTATTCATGCTGCCAGATATAAAATTGCCGAGTTTCATGCCTTGAAAACACTCCACACCTGCTCACATACTCAGACTCTTCTGTTTTTTTTCAACTGAACCATGGTTAGTGAAAGTACCATTTTCTCCCTAATTTTTAAAGGGAAGCTGGAGGGAATAGTATGGAGAAAGTGGAGATCTTGTTTTAGGGAGAATAAAAAAATAAAATTTTAATTATTTTTGTAAGGTGGAAACTGCTGGTTTGCTTCCCCAATGAAGGAGATATCTCTTTTGTGCATGTTATTTTGAAAATATCCATTTCCTACACATTCATCTCCTCTGAAAAGCAAGCTTTCAATCTAAAAACATGCCATGTATCATTAGAGGGCTGACTGTCACTGAACTAGATGATCTTTAAGGTTCCTTCCAACCCAGACCATTCTATGATTTTAATTAAAGAGGTACTTTGGTCTGTATCTCTTAAATACCATCTTTGTGCCTGCCCTTGAGGTCTGTGTACACTGACACACCTGCTCTCATTGTGCAGGGAATTAAGCATTACATATTCTCAGTGTCCTGAACAAATTGGGTTTCAGGATGTAGGACGTACAGTTAGGACATGCCCCACCTTTGCTTCCCCAAAAATGGGTTGATACTTGCTTTGAACAACTTGCTGTTGAATTTAAGCTGAAGACCAACTTTCCCTTCTTTCCATTTCAGAGAGCTCCAGCCACACGAAGCTGCCTGACAGCAAAGGCAGAGTGAGCAGCTTGCTCCACAAGCCTGAGTTTCCAGATCAGGACATGATGGAAGTCCTCATCTGAGCAGAGGACAGCATCTCTGGGGTTTTGTGTGTGTACAGCCAGGTCCAAGATGGTCCTCAGTGTGCCAGCCTTGAAAACTAACCCTTACAGTTTGAAGGAAGATAAAGTTTTTGCCCCAAATGAAGCTTGAGTCTGTTATGTGTAGACTTTGGACCAGGCGAGAAGTCAAGAGCGCTGAAGAGGAGCGATGAAATGAATGTCTGGGATTTTTTAAACAGAGAGAGGCATTGGAAATGGAAGATCGTGTGAGAAGGGGATCATTGAGGCAAAAAGAAACTGGGTTTTCTGGCATAAAGAGAAAGTAGTGAAGTTAAAGACTGGTTGCACACTGCCGCTCTGTTTTCCTACCTCTCTGCAGCCAGGACAGGGAGTGAAATCCTGTCTCCTTTGAGGCCAGAGGGAGTTTCTGAGTAAAGCAGGAAAAACTTGCATCTTCCTCAGCATCAGTGCATTTCTCAAAAACTTTCAAAGTCTCAAAAACTTCACTGCCTAGTTTTTGTGAATAATTGGTCTGTAGGTGTACACGGCAGGTTCTTGTAAGTATTTATTTGAAGTGGCGTGGTATGGTTTTCCTGGGCAGGCAAGTCAGGTGCCTCTTTCCTGGCTGGATAAGTGTTGCTCTTGTAGCTGGATTTATAGTGCAAATATTCGTGTCTTGCAATCTCAGAGCTTACTGAGACTTCTTTTTTTGGTAGGAGCAGTTGTTGGCTGGAATTCTCATGGAGGATAAATGTAGGGGGGGGGAGGGGGAGCATGCTGAAGCAATCCATGTTGTAACCATAGGAAGGTTTCAAGAGGGAAAGTTACGGGAGGATTCCAACAGCTCCCTAAAGGGCTGTGCACTACAGAGTTCCTTCAGAGGGGGGCTGCATGGTTGTGTTTTCAGAGGTGTTAAGTGCATGAAATCAGAAGATGCCTCTTAATGTGCGCTGGTTCATAGTATTAGAAGAATCAGTGTGCTTATGGTAAGAACAAGATTTTTCCTTATTTTCAATGCCTACAGCCAAATCCTACTTTTCTTGACCATACAAACCTGCTGTTCAAGCTGATGTGGGACTGGGCATTAAGAGGTGTGGAATTAGGCCAGGAAGGCTTTAACTGCAAAGTAGTATGTGACCATCATGTATTTTCTGTGCTGAGCTGAGGTTTCTTTTCACCTTATTTTACCTAGGATGGAACGTTTCTCATTTTCAGCTTTGTCTGTTAGTAAGAGGTGGTGACTGACTGTAAGGCAGTTAACTCACCAGCTGTGTTAATCATGGCATACCATTCGCTTTGTGCATTGCACATGCTGATAAGGAAATTTTGCTCTGTGAGGTATTTTTGTATTGGCTTTGCAGTTCCTGAACTTTGTGGTGCACCGTAATGACTTTAAGAAGAACTTGGCTTTGGGAAGAAGGGTGATGGGATTTAATGTGAAGCTGCCTAGAGTGGAAGAGTGATGGGTGCTAGAAGTAATCGTGTGCTCAGGGCTGGCTCAAGATCACCCCTTCCTGTAGGTATCAAATCATAGCCCTTGACTGTGAGAACACCAGGCATTTTAAACTCTGCTTTTGCTGAAAACTGAAGACCTTGCGAACTCAAAGCCTGCACGGGCGAGAGCCTTGTGGTCAATACTGCCTGGCTGATACCTTCCTTTTTTAAAGAAAAAAACTGCTATGTTAAAGCTATGCACTTATTTTTGTGTGTACATAGAATTAGACACATGTTGTTGTCACCTTCTTTCTGATTTTTGCACTTGTTAAATGCAGTAGTGGTAGGTAGGTTGTGTGGGCAAGCGAACTGTGTGTTTTAAGTATTAGAAGCTTTGCATTATGAAACCAAATGTGTAAAACCCTTGGAAGATGTTATGCAGCTTAATATATGCCTTGTAAGATAATTTTATTTTTTTCCCTAAAGTTAATTTAAACGTTGTAATTGTTTGCATCAAAGCCAGGCCTGCACGTGACACCACTGCTGACCCACCTTCGTAGCCCTTCCTCAAGCGTCTGTGGTAGGACTGGGGTGGGAGGAAGACAAAGCAAGGGAATACAAGTAAGGTGTTGGTGAATATTTAATTTCATCATTTTTTTATCCAAGAAATAAGGATACCCATGTGCTTGTAAGTCCCCAAGCATTTTATTGCCAGCTGTATTATTTCTTTTGATGAAACTGTTCAATAAGTTGTGTGCAGGTGGACAGGGAGGCGTCCAGCAGAAAGACTGTTGGATCAGCATGCATGATAAGGCTTTCAGTTATGTTTGGTAGTGGTTCTGCTCAGCTTCTCCAAGTCAGCTAGAGTACAGAATTCCTCCTTCTCCTTGTGGAGATCACAATACCTCCAGTTTCCAAAGCTGTGTTTACAATTGATGGTGCCCCAAGTTCATGGTTACGTATAGGAAACTGTTAGATACTGTGGTGTAGGCAACTCTTGTTGTAGGCAACAGCTTAAATAACCCAAAGGTTCATTCTCCTCAATTGTGTTGAACTCAAGAGATGTCAGTTTTCCTGGAGGGAAGGTCTGGAGGAGCAGCAGGTTGCCTCCCAGCCTGAGCACTAGCAGGACTTGTGTGGAGTACTATTGCCATAGATCAGACCCTCTCAGCAGAGCGGTACAATTCCATTTGTGCTGATTTTCCCAGCTCTTTGAACTGTTTTGTGGTTTTGGGAAACTGTGCTGTAGCCATTCCAGGTGACATTGGTAACTAGTTGTAAAATACTGTCATTTTTTATTGTCGTTGGTTGTATAGAGAAGTTTGTGTACAGTGTTGTACAGCTGGAGGGTTATTTGTACATAGGGGGGGAAACGAAGAACGTTATGTGTCACCCCCAGCAAATGTTGATATTGTTGGTCAGCCAAAGATTTCTTATTCTTTGCTGTTTAAACTTGTGCCTTACTATTGTATATAATAAATGTATAAACATGTTTATTTTCTCACTTTTCCAGTGTGAATATATTCAGACTACAAGAAGAAAGACCTTTTAAAACAATTCTTTAAGCTTTGCACACAATGTGCTAAGACAAAGTAAGGATACTGTGGGGACTTAAAGGTTGCATCTCCTGTTTTTCACCATTGTTAATGGAAGGCCCCACAGCAAGTACCACCAGTGGGTGTATGTGGGCATGAAATCAGTGGGTCTCCAAAGCAGAAGATCAAATTGGGAGCTTGGTCAAGCAAGAAAAGTAGGATTTTAGTGAGATTATCTTCACCTGAATGAAATGAGGGTGGAAACTTAATGAGACAATTTGGTGAAGATCTGAATATGGTTCAGCCCTGCATTCCTGCTAAGCATAGAACTCCCACTGATTTTTTTAGTATGTTCTTCAGGGTCTGGGGCTTCTTTTTTTGACAGGTGTTGGGTCAGTGTGAGTGAGGTACCTGAACACCTTGTAGATCTAGATATTCTTGAAGTATATAACTATAATGTCTTCAGTAAGGAATAAAGATCAGATCTCATTTGAAGCTGTTGTGTGGGCAAAGGAAATGCTCCAGCCTGGTGGAAATATTGTTCGTATGTTTGTTTATGCAATTGAAATAAATGGGGAGAGGGGTGAAAAAGTTACCCAAGTGTCTAGCTTTGAGTAAGGGAGATTTACTCAGCAGGCTCTCACATGCACTTGAAAGTATCTATTAGAAAATTCCTGAATCAGGTCCCAGGGAGCTGCAGGCATGAAAGGCATGAATGCCACTAAGGGCATCTCTCTCTCTTGTATGAGTTCTCCTCTGCCTGTCCCAAACTACTCTCCCCAAATCCTTGCACATGTTGTCAACAAAGGTCTGGGGGGTTTGCAGAAACTTGAGCAGTGGTTTTGCTTCACCCCCATCCCAGCACCTCATATTCCCCTTGTGAGCACAGGTCAGACTGACCCATCTGATCACTCCATCTTCAAGACATGGCAGCTGAAAGTATTTGTTGTGCCCTGGCTCTTTACCAACAAGAACAAAAATTTGGTGATTGTTGAGATTTGACAGCAAAATTTGGGGCTTATCTTGTTTTTGTGAAGGTCATGGGAGAAAAGAAACCAACAGAGGGTGGGAAAGTCTCATGGCCATCTGTGTTCAGGTATGACAAAGAGGGGGCTTATTCCATTTTTGGGTTGTGTCTTCACCACAGATGCTCCAGCCAAAAATAGAGAGAATATCACTGTAACACAGTCTGCAGGTTAAGTATGTTTTGCATATTAACCTCAGGCATGGACATGCAGAGAAGCAAATTCCAGAGTCAGTTTGTTTAAACATTAAAATCCACGATCCCAAAAGTAAGTAATGGACAGGGATCTCCTTACTTGCCACATAGAGGGAGAGAGCTCAGAAGAGCCAAAAACATTAACAAAACTGACATTTAGAAGCATTCAAAAATCAAGCCCCATCCAAAATGATGAGACCTTTCCAGTATTCACTGGGATTCAGTGCACTGTGCAGCTGCGATGTCTCTTCTGCGCTGGTTTGTTACCATGTTCAAGACTTTCTCCTCCCTAAGTTTTAGAGGAGCAAGTGTACAAGCAGCAGTGAGGTACATTTTTGGGGAAAAGATTCCTCATGTCACTAAATGACTCTTGGGGTAGGACTTAAGGTATGCTGCAGGGAAACGTGCACAAGTGCAGACATCAGTTTCCAGCAGGAAGGATGCTGCCAGCTATCTGCTTGTCATCAGAATCCCCAGTCTGGGGTCTAGATGCAACCCAACAATCTGGACTTGGCCTGAGCACTGTGTTGCGTTCCTGGACCACCCTTAGTTAGGTTTTTGGATACCATGTGGCAGATGAGCTGCTCACCCAGAAAGAGGGCAGCATGGGCATGGGAGAGCTGCAGTGGATCGGTGGTACCTGGTGAGGTTGGTGCTGGGCTGCCCCTCCCAACCACCAGCCTGCAATGATGGGGGCTTGGGAGGCCAACTACACATGAACCCCAAAACCCTCTTCTTACAGATTGGTAGCTCTTACTATACAGAGATTGTGGAAATTTGAGAAACACTCCTCCTCTTCCCCACAGTGCAAGAGTGTTGTTCAAACAGCAGCCTGGGGGCAAAGCAAAGTGCAGGGAAGTGCCTGAGGCGGGTGCCAAGCCAGTGCTGGCACTGCATCAACGTGCTGGTTATGGGCCCACCCCTTGAATGCCAGTACTAAAACTGGTGATTGCAGTGAAGGTAGTAACCCCCCTCTCTGCTGACCAAAGCAAATGGGTAAAACAGGGCACAATGTGCAAAGTGCGATACCACCTGAGAGATGGGTAAAACACAAGCAGCTGTTGTCGTCCCGCTGTGATTAATGTTCATCCAGACCTTAAGCCGTGGTTTCACAGCCTTGTAAAACCACCCTCCAGTGCCCAGCATTCCTGAGCTATAAAAGGCCCAGGAATTCATTGACTCAAGGTATGAAGACCACGAGCTATTTTCTTTCATACCAACCGCTTCAGCTTTAGATGAATAAAATATCAGTGCGCATATTTTCCAGAGTAACCCTGCGTGGCCCTGCTGTAGCCCAGATCTTGGTCCTTTTCCAATGACCTCCACTTTGACACAAAGCAGGGCAGTAGTAAGAGATGAGACCCAGGTCCATGTTGGCCCCCCCCATCTTGTGGGGGGCTGAGGACCTGTGGCAAAACTCAGTGCTGGATGGGATCTTGTTTTCCCAGGTACCATGTGATGAGGCAGTGATGGAGCTCTCAGGAGATCATACCCACAACTGATCAGTGGCTTTCCTGGCTGCTCAGTGGAGTCTTTGACTCCACATTTATAGCTCCCCCAGTTCCTGCATGCCCTGGGAGTGCCCTCAGGCCCCTGCAGAAGCAGGGTGGGCAGCCAGTGACCCTCCAGGCATGTGAAGCTTCCTGCAGGACAGCTGGGCTCAGAATGAGGACAAGAGACTGTGATGGCATCTGATATCCCTCTGCCAGTGTCTGGTTTGGGACTTAGTTAACCCGAGTAGGAAAACCTGCTGGGAGGAAGCTCCAGGAGGGAGAAAGGTGTCATAAGGTGTGAGGAGATGAAGGTCCTCTCCCTTGGCAGGTTATTCAGAGCATTTTTAAGACAACCCATTCTGGTAGGCTTGCTCTTAAAATCACACTGCAATTTAGTGCTCAAAAAAAATTGTGTGAATTTCACCTGAATTCATAGCACACCCAGAAATGACAGGCCAAGTACCCAAATCCAGTGGCTTTCTGCACTTACTGGAGGATTGGTGGCCACTATGTCTTTGCTGTGATGCTAAATCCCAAGCCCATCAAAGGTGGGACCTGGTAACCCCATGGAGCACCCAAATGAGTTGCCCCAGGACTGTTGAAGGAGCAGAACCAGCCCATCGACAGAGCCCTGTCATGGGGAAGTCCCTCCCTTCCTTGCTGCTGGGTGAAGCAGGATGTAGGGATGGGGCAGCCTGTGGGTCCAGCCACCTCTCACAGGGGCTGGAGAGGGGTGTATTTATAGGGCATGCTCACCACAACCCCACAGGGAACCTATGTTGTGTGGGTTTGGCCTTAATCAGGTTTGGGACTGACGCGAGTTAGAGAACTGAAGCACCACCTGCACAAACCCATGTCTGGGGTGGGCATGATGCCAGGGGCAGCAGTAACCTGTCTGCTCCCTCCATGGGGGAGAGTGGGTGAGCAGAGTAGCCTGTCCCCATCCATGCTCCTCCACAGGGACACATCATCATCCATGCCTTGCTCCTCTGCAGGGAAACACCCCCAGCCACGACCTGTTTTCTTGCAAAGATACATCCTTATCTGTGCCCTGTTTCCCTGTAGGGATGCGTTCCCACTCCTGGCCCTGATCACCCCTGCTGCAGAGCTGGCAGGCTCATCATAGAATCATAAAATGGTTTGGGTTGGAAGAGACCTTAAAAATCATGTAGTTCCAACCCCCCTGCCATGGCAGGGACACTTTCCACTAGACCAGGTTGCTCAGAGCCCCAGCCAACCTGGTCTTGAACATTGCCAGGGATGGGGCATCCACAACATCACTGTGCAACCTGTTCCAGTGCTTCAACACCCTCATAGTAAAGAATGTCTTCCTCATACCCAACCTAAACCCACCCTCTTTCAGTTTAAGTTAAAGCCACTCTCCTTTACCCTATCACTATACACCCTTCTA